TATAATANATGTTCTAAGGTCGGTTTTACACGGACATTTGAGTAATCCAAAGTTAGGAACATAACATTAGGCTCGACCCCCGGAAAAATCTATTGACGGCAAAGGAGGTGGAAGTGCAGTAGGGATGCACCTGTGAGGTGCGCGCGTCTAACGGAAGGTTAAATATCAAATTAAATTATTAAATATCAAAATAATACAAAATAATGAAAAAAAAGTATGAAAAATATGTTTAATTAAAATTCTGCGTCAAATGGTAAAATACAAAAAGGCGAGGAAATTTATGATTTGATTAAAGCCGAAAGCTGAACTTTTATGGAATAATTTTTGTTTTAATTCAAAATCATAATTGCAATACATTGGGAGGAAAACCCGAAAATCATCCTACAGTTAAATATGGAATAACAGAAACACGCATGACCATGACCTACACTACACAACCAGAGCAAAGAAAGGCAGTTATATAGTAAGCGTATCTTTGAATGCCAAAACGCTTTGTTGGCAAGCCGAAATAAATAGTATTGCATAAAGAAATAACATACTATACATAAAATTATAAAGTAATGGCACTCATGAATATTGATAAAAAATTTACTTTAATTTAGGCCCTCTGATAAATTGCTATTTACCACTCTTGAATTAGAGATATTTGCATGACAATTCTGGGGAAAAAAACGGTATGCAAGTTAATCAGTAATCGAGATGAATCAAACCTAAGATTTCATTGTCAAAAACCAAAAACTGCATTTTTTGAGCCATTTTAGTGTTGTGTAACGGAAAAAGTCATTGTTTTTAAGAAATATTTAGTTCGCAATTCAAAATATAGGGCGAAGCTAAGAAGTTATTACAATCATTATTTACCAGCTTCGTGAATTTAAACTCAAACCTGATCATATATTCTTAATAAAGAAATAAGAGCTTTTTAACGGAAAAAGGAAAGTTTATAAAACCAAATGAGTTGCAAAAAATGAACATATTTTCCATTGGCGGAAGGTAACCCTATCTCAGATAATAAAAATAAAGCATTGACATTGAATAGAAAAATTCAATTTTGTATACAGGTACAATTTTGTTGAAATCATCAACATTCATAGTTGTATAGCTGCTCTGTAAAAAATCAAATTATGGTATAATATACTGGCACTTTGGATGCATCATCCGCAAGATCCATTTTTACCCTAAAATATTATACCATCATTTTTACAATAATATTCATTTGATTAGAGTGATTCAGTGATTTCACGGTAATTATTACTGTCAAAATTACGGCATGTGAGACTTTTTGTTCCGTAACGGTGAAAATGAATTTCACGGTTAAAAGTACAGGCACCTTCGAGTGTTTAAACGTTTCACCGGAATCTTTTACAATGAAGTTTAAAATACATCTACTTGAACTTAAATGTTTTTAAAGTTAGAATTTTATTATTTATAAAGATACTTTTGTGTTTGCTTTCTTCCTGACATTTGCTTATTTTGAAAGATTCGCAACTTGATGCACTAAAAAATAGTCAAGTTTAAAATTCGCAAACACACATTTCCTCATTATCGAAAAACTCATAATTTTTAATATTTTATACTTCCCAAAACCTTACAAAAATTGTAAGTTTTATTTAACAATTATCCGCGCAGAAAATTTAACAATACTTGCATAAAAGTTAATTTTTCCTTACACAAGAATTCAAATAGCTTAATTAAATTTCATAGTCAACGCCAATCAGCTCAACTTTCTTAATTACCATTCTCTGAAACAGAAATCTTAAAACTTTAGTTTATTTAGGAATATAATAGATATGATAGTTTGTTATATTTTAGAATTACAATGCAACATTATAATACAATCATTTTAAAGAGTCGAAATTATAAATTAATTTCATCAAAATAAATCTCAAGTATGCCATGCACCCTTATCTATATCAAAATTAATTAGTAACATTTGAAGATTTTTCTACACGTGTAAATTACATTTATACGGATACTTTAAAATTATATTCCACAAAACATTCGCATATTAAAGATAAGTAGTTAATTTAAAATTGAATTACTTTTAAAACAATGTGAATTGTGGTACTGATAACTATCGTTTTCAAAATATTTAACAGCACTATGTGTACAATTTGATTTAAAGCAGCAGAAGTATTACATTATTTATATTAATAATATTCATATAGGTGTTTAAAAATTCCTTTTCCTAGTATGATTTTATTTAATTATTGAATAAAAACGGGAAGTTAATTTAAGAGTAGTTAAAATGTATTTTCAGAAGAAAAAAAAACTAGAACTATGCATACGGTCATGAGAAGCTTTCTGCTATTTCAGAAAATTTTAAAGTTTATTGAGGATAGTGAAAAAATTCATTTTTAATGATAATAATTTCAAATGTAGCTTAAAATTAATTTGGTTGATAGGTAAAATTCACAATTAGCCAAATTGAAATATCTACGCAAATTATAGCTAATAATTTAAGTTTTCAAAATAATTAAGATTGATATCCTTTTCAAATGTATATAAAGAATAGCCAATTGTTTTATAGGTTTTAATTTGCCTGTACCAAGAAATATTTATAATGGAATACGAAAAATATTTCATTTTCATAGTATAGTTGAAGGGTTTCCAAAATTTTTTCAAGAGTGGAACATTAAATGTTTAATTGTCCTTTGGAGGAATTACAAAACTTAATGAATGAATTTTATTAGCAATCGTAAACATATTAATTTACAAAAAACAATTAATTATTTTGAAAATATGTATAATGTATATGAAAAATATTTATTAATTATGATGAGATTTCTATTGAATGAAAGAAGAGATCAAAATTTCATTATATTTTTTTATAAATATTAGTCTTCACTGAACAAAAAACTATTAATTATTTTGAAAATATGTGTAATGATCTAATTTTTTTTTAGTCATTATGAGATTTTTATTAGAGAAGAAAAAAATTTTATTATATTGTTTTATAAGTATTGGTCTTCACTGAATTTTATGTCAGAAAATTGAATTCACAGGTCTGGACAAGCATTTAGTCTACTTATTAATTTGATTTTAGTGCATACGTAAACTGAAATTTAATAAACTGAAATATGGTTTCCCTTAAAATAAAAACAAAAAAAGCGAAATATAAATAAGAATATTTAACAGAGAAACATACTTTTGTTGAATTAAGTTATTTTTATTCGACGCGAAATACCAATGGAATTTTTCATGAATGCATATCCCTTTCAGAATTCATTCATTTTATTATTATTAGAAAAAACATTGTCATTGAAATCTCTTTCTTCACAAACATCTCAATAAAAAAATTTCATAAAAATGAGGAAAATAATATTAGATAAATAAGGGATTGTTAATTGATTTTCATTATCATAATTTGATTCGATTTGATTTTCATAACTTTTGATTGATTTTGATTATCATAACTTGTTAAACAAAATAACTCTCGAAAGCCCTGTGACCCTTCCTAAGTACCCTATCATTCCGAGAAAAAACCTATCATTTGAGAACCGCTGGTATATTTTAAATCATTTAATAAACGAAGTTAAACAAATTTATTTATCAATGAAACTATTTTTACTAAATCTTAAATTAGCATTCAAACTCTGTTATACTAAATTAGCAGTACAAAATTGCAATACAATTAACTATAGTATTAAAATTAGTGGTAATATTCTCTTAAATATTTATAAGGAGTTTTTTTTATTTTAATTGAGAAATAGGCAATGAAATATATCATTTCAAAGTACTGTTCAAAACTTCAGAGGACTATGATAAAAGAATATCAGTGCTGATAATTATAGTTCAAAAGATAATTAACAGCAATATTCCTTAAAATTTAAATATGAAAGCAAACAGATGTTCAATTCATCGAAATCACCAGATATTTAAATAACAATGAAACTACTTTAGGATTTTGAATCAATATTCAAACTTCGTTATACTGAATTTGCTATACAATTTTTGCTGATAATGATAGTATTCAAAATAGCAGTAGTAGTCTTTTAAATATTTATAAAAAAGACGAATAATTTATTGATTTTAAATAGGAAATATATAAAGAAAATGTCTTAAAATATTTGATTTCAAAATTATGTTTAAAAATTTCGAGTACTATGATGAAATCATATCAATGCAGATAGTTATAGTTCGCAAGTAATTGACGGCAATATGCATTGAAATTTGCATAAAGAAGCAAACAGTTGTTTTATTCATCTTAATCACTAGATATTTAAATATCAATGAAACTACTTTTGACTTTTGAATCAACATTCAAGCATTCTTATACTGAATTAGCTACACAATTATTGCTAACAATTATAGCATTCAAAATAACGGTAATATTCTCTTAAACATATAAAGTGAAGAGTTATTTAATGGATTTTAGCTAGGACATATATAAATAAAATGTTTTAAAATATATTACTAAAAAACTTTTTTTTTTAAATTTGGAGAAATATGAATGAAGCATATTAATGCTAATAACTAAAATTCGCAAAATAATTAACATCAATATGCTTTTAAACTTGTATAAAAAATCAATCAGAAGTTTTATTAATTTTACTTACGGAAATTTAAATAGGCATAAAAAACTTAGCTTTTATAGTAAAATTTAGAAAATTAGCTGCACAGTTATTGCTGATAATTATAGCATTCAAAATAACGTTAATATTCTCTTAAATATTTATGAAGAAAAGAGTTATTTAATGTATTTTAGCTAGGACGTATATAAATAAAATGTTTTAAAATATATTATTAAGAAATATTTTTTTTTCAAATTTGGAGAACTATTAATGAAGCATATTAATGCTAATAATTAAAATTCCCTAAATAATTAACATCAATATGGTTTGAAATTTGTATAAGGAAGCAATCAGAAGTTTTATTCATTTTACTCACGAGATATTTAAATAGGTATAAAAAAACTTAGCTTTTATAGTAAAATTTAGAAAATTTAATAATTAATGTTTAAAAGTTAATTTAAGAAGTCATATTTTTAGAAAAAAACTTACCCTTTGTGTTATATGACGCCAAAAGTAGAAGGATGAGGAAAATGAATTGCGAATTTTGAAATCGACACATCGCATCACATCTTAATGTTTTTACCACCCTTTAATCTTTTTTTTTCTCCTCCCGTACACTTTTCCTTTTATTTATATATTTACTTTTTTTTTTGACGAAAACAAAACTAAATATTCAGCTAAAACATAAACAGTGAAAAGGGGTCGAGAGGAGAGAGGCGGGGTGGGGGTCGTCGTCTCTTGGGATCTGACCCTTGACCCCCCTCGTCCGCGAGGGTTGGAAAACGAGAATCTCGAGGCAGAAGATGCTGACGGAATGGTGATGCAGCTGAGAAAGACATGGGATGTCTGATCCGCCTGCTCTCGCGGAAGGGTTGTAGAGGGTGTTTAAAAGATCGGAGATGCTTTCGAGTCGCCAATAGTTACGGGAATGGTGCCAGAAAGCCAAATCTATCGCCTGTTCGCGGTGATTATGTAACTTCAAAGCTTAAAGTAAGTTTATCAAAAAGTTAAAAGAGTTTCTTAAAAAAATACGTTTTGAGATTAATTATTAATTCAATGATCGTTTCGTTCAAATAGTTTCTATTTATTTGGTATTTTTGTTTTTTTTACGTTTTTATTTTGTGTACTACGCTGTATTTGTTTATTCATTTACGAGATAGTTATGACAATTATTTCGCGAAGTCATTTATGAGATTTGCATAATTGTTAATTTTTTATAATAAGATGGTGGTTTTTCCGAAAAACTAATCATAATCAATTTTAACTTTCAAACATTTTCAGTTTGAAAATTGTTTCCATGTTTTGAATGGTTCTGTAATGTTAAATTATTATTATTATTATTAGAAGCAATACTGCTGCGCAATTGAGAAAACAACATAAGTGTTTCACGATAGATTCCGAGATAAGTGGGATGTCAACTTTTTTCTTTTTATGAAAGCTAGGAAAAAATTTCAAAAAACTGATAAAACAGAATTTATTTTTGAAAAAAATATTTTTGCAACGTATGTAGTTTATCATACAGAGATGCTAAACACGTTCAATTTATAATAATTTATTTTGAATGCTTTGTCGCTTACGTTGATTTTTCTATTGCATGACAAAATACTATGACACGCTCTTTATATTTCATTTATAGCTTCATAACAGTTATTTCTGTTTATATATATTTAAAAAACTTAATTAATTAATAAGTCAGTCACAATTGTTATTTTTATGGATTTCTAAATAGTTATTTAGTCTATACCTTTTTTTAAATTAACATATAAGTATTTGTTCCTGCATGACTAATATCTTCAAAACAAAAAGTAAACACGCTAATTTTAACATCGAATTTTTCAAGAATGAAACTCTTTAAAATTTTAAAATCATTATAAAAAATAACATTTTCACACAGCATAAGATACACTTAAAAACAGGAAGAATTTGGTTTTCTTTTTAACTATCAATTTATTTCAAATTGCTTTTTAATTTGCTTATTAATTATTTTCGCTGTAATAATTTTCAATCAGTCAATAAGTTGTTTTGCAATGGTTTTACTAAACAAAACAATTTTACTAAAATTATACTTCATGTACTTATGTACCATAGTCCAACTAAACCATGAATATAATACCAAAAAAAGCTTTTTATTACAATTTTTCTTTTAGTAACATTGGTCTATTAAACCATGAAACTGATACGGAGTAAAACAAATTTACCCCATCTTTACTTTTTGTATCATTGACCTACAAAACCATTAATCCGATAACAAATTAAATGACTTTACACTTCACATTGACCCGTTGAATCAAGAATCCGATGAACAGTATATACACAATTTAGAATGATATTTTTTAATTACAATATAGAAACAGATATATCAATTCCTTCAATTAATTTTCAACAAGGTATTCCAGTAGGCAATTTTAAATTTTGTTTTTGTTCGTGAAGTGCAACAAGGCAGTCCCATTCTAATATAAAAAAATTAACTACTTTACTCATAAAGCTCTGGATTGGATGGCGAATTAAAACTTTAAAAGAAAACTGCATCTTTCCAATGCAGATTTGGCTTTGGTGAGAAATGATAACGATTTTCATTGTCAAATCTATCCAGATATGCTCTTTATCTATCCAATTCAAGCAAATGAAATTAAAGTAAGGAAACTGCTTTAAAAAATTTGAAGCAGTTTGCCACCCCAGTTTAAAAAAGTGAAGCAACATTTGTAAAAATGAGGAATAAAATTTTCCCAATATCAAGTCGTATATTTTTATTTTTTTTAATATGCCGTATGTTTCTCTGGTTATCTTTATTTCAAACAATTTTTAATATTTGTGATATTGGAGCCCTCTTAAAAACTCTGAAAAACAAAGTGAAATATTTTATTGTGAACGAAGTGAAATATTTTACGGTAAAGAAAATTTTTATCTTTACGGTTTTGAAACCGTTTGAAACTAATAAGATTAAAAAAAACTCTGAATGCAAAACTATATGTTTTTAGCACTCTGCAATCAGCAGGCAAAAAATATAAATTTAGCAGGACTTTAGAAACAGTTTCATCAGCTTTGCGGTACTACCATCTAAGTGTAAATTAGAGTTTCGTATTCTAATAATCAAGGATCCCAAATTGCGGAGTACAGGAAGCTGGAAACTCTTCACGTGTTGAAGGGAACGCTGGGGCTCGAACCCCCGTTCTATTGGTCATGATATTTACAGGTTGGCCCTACCGGCTGTAATAAGTTCCCATCTGCAAGGAATTAAGTCGCTTCAATAGTTGAATCTAGTTTGCTTGACAAAGATCTGGTTGCTTAACCGTATAAGGTTAAAGCAGTTAATACACGGTTTTTCTTACAGTTAGCAGTCTGAATACCATCTTATTTACAGTTTTTTACTGTTTTGTTTCTATATGGTTAAATAACAATTAAATAAATTGCTATTTAATAATTTTTTTCTAGACATTTCTATCAGTGTATAAGGTTTCAAAAATGAAATTGTAAGCGCAAAGAACTTTTAAACAATGTAAAATCCTCAAATTTGTGCTTTGAAAAAAATAATTTAAGGAAATAAGATAAAAAATTTCAAATAATTTTCGAAATGTTAAACTTCATCTTATACTTTGAAGCACAAATCAAATTTTCGGTATTTTTATAAATCTGAGAATAAATAATATTTGTTTCATTCAACTAATTCAACTAATGCTCATTCGAAAACTAAATTAATATTTTTTTATCTCGCAAAACTCTTTATAGAAAGAATTTAAGAACCAATATATTCGTTTCCCGAATCTTTCTTTCTTCTCGAATTATTCTGTGTGCTAGATACTCGATTTAAAACAAATTTGAATATGTTTCTTCTTATTTAATTAGAAAGAGCTTCTTCCTAATTAAGTGCGTGATTTAATTAGCATTCATTTTATTACGAAAAATGTGTGAAACATATTAAGAAATTAAATGAAGGTGGAGTTATATCAAATAATTACGCCATTCTAATCAATCTAATTTTAAATACGCAGCTATATAAATATTTAGATTTAGTTTTTTTAAAAATAGGTTATAGTTTCTTAAGCTAGGTTCAGTTTAATTAATAAGTTTTTTAACAAATAAATTTTCATACGTAAAAATTTTAATTAGTTATTAAATAACTCTTTGTACAATATAAATTAAATAGCTTAATAAAATTGTTTAATTTTATTAACTATAGATATTACAATGCGAATTATGATTAAAGAAAAAACCCATTTTTTTAAATAAATCTATTTACTTAAGAATTACTTTTTTATTATTTTTAAATACAAGGTACTTTTTGATTTCAAAAAATAATGTTTTTTTTTTCCTGTTACCTATTTTCAGATTAAATACCAGCGATTGCTTAATAGACTCTATCATCTGATAATTCAAACATAATTAAATTACTATACGCATATTTCCTTTTTCCTTAAAAAACTTGTTTTTACAAATATTTTTAATAAGAAATTATTAAAAAAAAGGTAAATGACATTTATTACAAAAAGTTTTTAATCATTGTTCGTACAATTCACTCATTACATTCCAAAACAAAAGAAACTTTAAATTAAACACTATTTTCAACTTTTATTTGATTTTCCATATTTTAAAATAAGCTTTGAAAAGTCTCTGATTTCAATGTATTTAAATATAATTTTTTAATTAAATGTGACAAATGCCGGCAGAGCATCACATAATTTAATTAAAATCAAAATTTAAATAAGTATAACCTTCTTTTCAATTTATATTCATAACTTCAATCATATAATCTCGGTCAAAGAAAAGATAAATATTACTTCTAGCTTTTTATCAGTCTCTATTTTTTGCTAAATTATAAATTTTAAAATATTAAATAAAAAATTAAACTAACTTCTTGTAGATTATTTTATTTTAAGAAAATTTTTTTCATTAATGGTTTAGATAACTATTAATAATAATTTATGATACTTTAAATAAATTTGGATAAAACTATTGTAACGATCTTTAAGAATAGAAAGATTTGTTTACACTGGTTAGAATTGAGTTTCAATTTTTCAGATATTATAATAAATAATTTTAAAAAAACTAGAATAAATTCAAAATTTAATTAGAAATCACATCATTTGTTAGGAATTCATGAAATTAATTTTTTCTTCCCCTTAAGTCGCTTGTCACAATTTCACAACCATCTATGAGTAACATCATTTTTATATGACCCTTAGGTTCATTAGCACCCACAACCAAAGTTAATTGAAATAGTCTCTTTTAGAAGAGCTTCTAGTTCATTTTGAACACCAACAACTACTTCTCTTCGTATTAGATCTAGATCTTGAAATTTAAAGTAAGCAACCAAGACATATCGTGTTCACGTAGCGAATTATAAGGCAGTAGGAAATCACATCACATTATCGAGTTCAATTGAAAATTTTCTTCCCAAAAAAATTTCAAACAAAATCATCTCCGTATTAAAAATAGTCTGGTTGTTCATTCTAGGTTCAAACACATAAAATATTTTAATTACTCAAAAATAATCTGAAGTAGTGTTAATACAAATGGGATCGTTAAATAAATATCAAGTTATAAGTGTTCCCTAAAATTGAAACATGAATTAATTTTTGAAATAGTAATTTTACGCTCTTTTATAATTTCGGTCGGGCTTGTTA